TATGTGATCACCTCCGCCATAATCTGATGATTTACTGACTGACTGATCTTTTAGAATCCGGCTGCAGCAAGATGAGATCTTCGACCGGATCATGGAATCAACCTTTCTAAAGCCCTGGGGTAAAGCCAAAATCAAATCTCTGCCGAGCCTGATGCCCAAATATTCCGCCAACTTTGAGTACCAAGTGAACAATGATTCGGTAATTCGCGTGGAGGCAAAATTCTCTCTTCCTCTTGGCTCGCAGGAGTTTGAAGTCAACGGAGTCCGTTGTTTCAAATCCAAACAGATCGGTGCTCCTGTTGATCGTCAGATGCCCATGCAGATCAGCATGATTGACTTTGAAAGGTTTGTCTACCCAATATCCTTTCGGAATTTTACTGGAAGCTAAGTTTATATATAGGTCCGACTGGCAGCTTGAAGTGAAGGCTCTTGAACTCTGCCCCGAAAAGGAGATATCCCCCGAGCTAGACAAATTCATGCGTTCTATTGCTTTCCAATGGAACCCGAGTGCAAAGAGCATTGGATCTGCCCCCCAGCGCAAGGCGAGGTTCTCGTATGGTGCACCAGTCAAGCGTTTCGTCGAAAAGGCCACAATCCAACTCCAAGTCAAAGACTCGCCGCATGTCTTCGAGCTCGCCCGCTTCGACGAGTACACGTACGGGGTTGGTCACTGGTCGATGACCCCCAAAGTGTCCTGGGGTGCATCACTGTTCAATCCTAGTTGGGATGATATACTAGGTGAGCAGGCTGATGTCAAGGCTCTCGATATCTCCAAAGAGGGGTGCCTGTCGGTGTTCTTTCCCCCGCCGGGAGATGAGCAGGAACAGACAGACAAACCGAAAACGGACGATGAGCTCCGCAAGGAGGCCGAGAACCGAAAGATCGATGAGGAGAAGCAGCTGGGCTCTTTCATGAGCACTGTCCAGCAGGTTGCGCGGATGCTAGGAAATCCTGGCGCTGAGATGCCAGACTTCCTTGAGACCGATCTTGGAAGTCTGTTCTAGTCGATGTGCGCAAATCGTCCCAAATTTGTCGCATCTCATGCGACCACAAGGGCCAACTCAGAAAAATAAAAAATAAAAAAAAGAATTAAAACGACACAAAAGACAAAAACAACACCCATACCATAACCGTCCGGCTTGCTAATCAAGCCGAGATCATTAGGTATGTAGCAATAACAGTTCCAACCCATAGTTATTCCTGTTTCCAATATCGGAGAACTCCTTTAGCCCTAGATTCGTGGTGGATTTTCTCGTTCTTATAATTCCTCTCCAGTTTGCTTGATCCAAAATGGTGAGACAGAGACCTGTATATTATTTGAATTTTTCTATGGTAAGCCATGTTTGGCCTGTTCGCACCACATAGGTCGAATTTAACCCTGAGGAGCACCCTCTGAGAGCAACTTCTGCCTCAATGCTGTAGGAAAGAGGTTAGCAAGCGAAAAGAAATGGTCTCGCAAAGCAATGCAAATCCCGGCTCCTATTATCCAGGAAAGGGCCAACTAACTCTCTTCGGTAATGCGCAGTTGTGAGCTCTTGGTCTGTACAATCTTCTCCAGCTCCTGCAAGTTTGCCTCCAATCCCTTAACCTTCTCACCATAAAATGCGACCGCCTTAGGCGCAGTCTGGAAAAAAAGAAATCGTCAGCCCGATGAACTCGATCACCGATATAGCCCTGCCGCCACATACCTTCTCAACATAAAATCCAGTTCCGACATCAACAAGCACCTTCTCGCGATCCGTCAACCGGCCCTTGACGTACAGGGAGCTGGTGAGGGGAACGAGGATCTCATCACGGCCATCGGTTCCCATCTTCTCGTTCCCAATCACGCCGTCGTTGATCGTGCGCACACAGTCGCGGAACTTGGCCTGGGCGGCGCGCAGCTTCGTGTGCGAGGTGGTCAGGTGTTCCAATTCGGAGGTGAGACGGGTTTGGAGTGCGCGGAGCTGAGGGATGGAGAGAGTGGCGAGGTTGACTAGTTCCGGATAGTTAGCATGTATTTATCGCCATACGACACAGACAGCCGGATGCCCACGCTGTGTCATTCTGGTGTTGGGGGGGATCGGTGACGCACTGCCTTGGGGAGCTCCTTCTGATGGGGCGTTTTGTGACATTTTGGGATTTGGAAAGAAGAATAGGGTATAGTATTAGGGGGGATCAAGTTCTGTGACTGTTGTGTTATTGTAGATCAGATCCTCGCATTGGAACCGTATAGGTGGTGGGGGGAGCTTCAAAAAACTCCTGGGTCTTGTTGCGTGGTGATAGTGGGGTTAAGTGTTGGCGGGCGGAATAGTGGACGGTCGTGTTTATACGCACGCACTTGACATACAGCAAAGATTTACTTATTACCTCATATTGTATGAGTGTTACAATTTGTTAAAAGAAAGCTGTCAGTATATTATTCATATATTAATATATATTAATTCATTCATTCATAGCTACAAGTACTCTGTAGGTAAAATGCTATCTGCGGGGAAAATAAGATCACTCCGAAGTTCTCCGCTCCGCTCCGTAATCCTTCTTCACCACATATCAATGGCTTCGAGACTGGCAGCATGTGAAGCTTGCAGAAAGGCGAAGGTCGCCTGTGATCATAAGCGACCAGCATGTACTCGGTGTGCAAGCAACGACAGAGCCGGGATCTGCATTTACCGGACGACCCCGTTCAAGAGAAGAAGAGCGGAGAGCTCTACACCTCTGCAGTCTCCTAGGTAGGTAATGCATATTCATATTTGCTTTACTTTCACATGCTTATCAAGTCTGCAGTCGGCTACCACCGGCCCAACCATCCTTCACCCCAAGGAATAATCCCTATCCAAACCCGGGCTTTCTGGGGTCCTCTAGCCATGTCGCTATTTTCAACGAAATTTCCCCGCAAGACTATCATGCATCTGATACCTACCAAGCCTCCGAGGATCTCACGATGCTGATGCAGTTGCAGTCCACTGGCGAGAATATCTTGTTAATCCAAGGCGCGGATGTCCTCAGACAGCTGTTCAACACATTTCCGCTAGCCGCCATGAAAGATTTTGTTACTTTTTGGCTGGCAACGGGAGCGAATCTAGCTCTGGCAGAGCCTTTTACCGAGAAGTGTACTGAAAATATGACGCGCCTGTTTACGTCCTTCTCACAGGAAGATAACTGGCATTTGGCATATGTCCAGCGTCTGACACAAAACTCCCGGGAACCTTTGCAGTTTGACAGCACGTCCGATATGGAAAGTTTCTCTGCCCAGTTTCTCGACCAGAAAATCCGATGGGAAAGTCTAGGTATCTTCCTCTCTGCCGTGAGCCGAGCAGCAATCGCTATACCATTTTTCCCGCCATTGTTCAAAACTGAAAAGGATAATTTCGTGCTTCGGAAGCTCTCTACAAGGCTTAGTGATCTTGCGTTAGATATTGTTCTCTCGTTGGATTGCTTAAACGACCTACAACTGGTTCTACAGTATGAGAACTTTATTGTACACACCCATGTTGATGGGGATCAAAGTAAGAATTCCTCGTTGATTTTGTCTGTAAAAACCCGCAGCTCACAGAGAATCCAGGCTATCATTCTTGGAGTAGACTTGGAGGTGTTCTGTCGTCCATGTTTGCACTTGGCTACCATGAGAATATCGAAAAAACCAAGCCACCAATTCCGACATTCCTTTCGGAATTACGAAAGGCAGCTTGGGCCACCACGTACTCAGCCGACAAGAATGTGGCTATTTTCCTTGGTCGGCCACCTCGGATGAGCAAGCGGTTCTGTCACTTCCAATTGCCTTTGGCCCCGACAAGCTCGGATCAGGTTTTCAATACCTCACCCGATGAGGACGAGGTCGTCAGATGGAAAATAGATACACCGATCTGCTACAGGGCAGGTATCCGGTGGGCGACCCTTTGCTCCGGACTGAAAGAAGATGTCCTCGAATTGCTTCGATTAAAGCAGCGCGAGAATTTCAATCGGAAAGCTAGGTAAGTTAGCGCCCTCCAATGTGGGAACCTTTTTCTCATCCTAGTGTTTGATATAGCGTCATTCGGCAAAAGGCTGAAACTCAATGGGCAAATCTACCTTCTCAATTCCGACTTTCGGGCCCTTTGAAAGAATGTTCTGGGGATGCGTTCGAACGTGACCTTATAGCTAGCATACGCCTGGACCAGCTACATGTTCTCTTTCTACTTCAATTGTCGTGCCTGGATACCCTGACTGAGCCCGATCCGTGTATACTCGACATCTCGGATCAAATACTCTCTCTTGTAGTGGACACAATCCTTCTACGAGATCAAATGGTCAACTCTGGAATTGGACTCATTTGGAAGGTATGTCTATCTACTATCAGGACTTGAACCTTTACTTACTGGACTGAACACCTATTAGATCGCTCACTTCGGACTTCCAGCTACAGGGATCATCCTCCTGTCAATGCTGAAAGAACACCGTACATTAACAGAAGGAAGATCCTCATGGTCTAAAACAATACTCAATCTCGGTATCTTTGTTGCGCAGGTTCAGGTAGGGAGCATCGTTCGGCGTGGAGATCCGAACTACGCTTTGATATCCAAAGCGACACAGACGATTGAGCGGTTCCTTGATTCTATACAACGTGAAGGGATACAATCCCCGACACAACTGCCACCGCAGCCAGGAGAGAATGGTGATTGGGCTGCGTTTTTCAGTCAGGATCTGTGTGATTTCGAGACTGACTTTTGGGAGAACCTCGCGTATCATCCTTCTTTATTGCCTTCGGACCCTATTTTGCCTCCAATATGAATTAATACAGTAATATAAATGAAGAATATATGGCGAAACCTTTCATCAGTTACTTAGGCATGGAGTTGAAATCACTAAAATCTCATTTATGAAAGAACATTACGGATTATTTCATCAAATAGGATATCAAAGATATATAACGATACCAAAATCTGCCATTATCTATACATCATAATCACCTTCAGTCCTCTACTATGATTTGTGTGCTATATCGAGACACGCCGGCTGTTGTTGAATCGTCATAAGGTAGATCACTCACCTATCTCCAAACCTTGCTCCTCATCTTGGTCATCTGGAGTGGGTTCACGGGCCTTAAGAAGGAAATAATCTCGCATCGAAGACCACACGCTACTGTCTGGTTCAACAGACTTATTCTTAATCTTGTAAGGCGTAAAACTTTCACCCATCCATGCATCACCATCGGCGTCCAGAATTTCTTCGTCATTTGAAGACGAATCACTTAGAGTAGTGAAGGTACTCCATTCAACCTTCCCCTTTGGCAACCGCGAGGCCTTCGATCTTTTCTTTTGTGGCGGAGAAGTTTCTCCGTCCTTTTCGTCATCCCTAGTCCGCTTGCGTTTGCCTTGTTCAATAGTACTTGTGGAAATACCGAATTCAGTGCGGGGCGGAGATGGAGCTTCTGTAGTATCAGCAATATAGAAGTCATCTGGGATAGGGGAATGAATGTCTTCCGGTGCAACAAGGAGACGGGAGTCTGGAAGAGGGTCAATGCTAGGTTGAATGAAAGGGACAGCAGGGGAATAAGGGGAATGGTACTTACCGGAAGCCCAAAAAGTATCCTTCGTAGCAGTCTTGGGAACAGGACTAATAGGAAGTACTGGGGCAGGGACATAATTCGGAGAAGCAATAGGAAATATAGTACGATCACGAGTGGGAACCGGGGTAATATTATGACTAGAAGTAGTCACGGGGGCAAGAACAGGAGCAGGAGAAGGGACGAGAGCACGTGCACGAGCACGAGTAAGACGAGCAGGAGTAGGAGCAGGGGCATGGGCAGGTGCAGGGGCAGGGAGAAGAGAAAAGCCAGGGCCAGGGCGAGGGGCAAGACCACCCGCAGGAGCAGGGAGAGAGAAAACTTCAAAAATAGGATAATTAGGATCAGTGACTCTCCATGTGGGATCAGTGAAGCGGTAAAATCGAAGAACATCGAATATACGCTCGGTAAGCTCCGCTGAGTCTGGGACATGAGCAAGAACTACAGCTGGCAACTCATGTTGCCTAGCAGTAATCCTGCGTCTGACCTCAAATCCACAATGACCTCTGAATGTTCCGTTCCAAGGTCTTCCTTGTTGAAGAGCGTTGTACAGAATGGGATTATAGATCTCTTTAATCAGGTGTTGGGTGGCCAGTCGATCTTGAGTATTCGTAGCCATATCAATGCCGAGTGCTGCCCAAATAGGACCCTCATGGTGTGGGCTCATATTTATTCTTAACTCTGCGGTTACTCGAGCCATATTGGAAGATGCTGATGAGAAGTGGGTTTAATCGAAGTCAGTTAGATTGGACTGTTGGGTTGGATTGCAAGACTGTTGGGGGTTGGATTGCAAGACTGTTGGCCTGTAGTCGTTTGGAATTCTTGGAAATAATGAGGATTTAGATGGAATATATCAACTATTAAGTACCAAAAGGTCCCTTTGTGGGTTATTAGATTGTTGTGAGCATGGTCTATGTATTTTGGAAGACATAAAGAGACATATTCTTCTCAAAGGACGCTCTTTAAGAACAAAGGGATGTGTCAATAAGATACTCGGCAATTTTAAACAAGGCCTTTATGAGGTAGTTAAGAATACAAGTTATTGTTTCTCTTCTTGTAGAAACAAAGGAAGGGAAAAGGAGAAAGTGCCCAAGAATATATACCCCTGTTAGAAACAAAGGGGAACTCACAAAGCAAATTAGGAATGAAGTTCGAATCTGTCTTCTAAGATGTTGATCTATAAATGGATCTCTATAGAATTAGAATAATGGCTCAAAGGATCACGATAAATGCTTCGAGAGGGCTGCTTTGATGAAACGGCCACCTGCATGATTGGAGTAACTGTAGGTAATGCTTACTGAATACCTGAGTTCATGTTGCGAAGCGGCTCCCTAATCGCCATCTTGCCGCTACTCTGGGCCGTTTCAATGGCCAGTTCCCTTTTACAGTTCAACGTAAGTTATACATTACAGATCAACAAAATTAAGAGATCACACGGGGTCTTCAGCCTCTGCTTCGAGAGTTGAGATCTAGAAAGACATCAGCTTGACAGAACCAAACAGTATCCTGTATCGTACCGACTTCTGTGCATCATTTGTTTCCCTGGGAACAGCCAGTAGCTTCATCATTGGTTCAGGTTTATGCGGCTGCAGGGGGTGCCTAGGTAGTGCTCGGAGTGAGTCTGTGCTTATTCCTCGCCTACTTAAGGCAAACAATGCCGCTAGACCGCCACACTTGTATTCCAATGATGGTTATGGACTAAATATGCTTTAGAAGGAACTTATTCAGACAATTTATCCCAAGGCTCCGATTCAAAGGATGAGCAGCTATCTTTGTGGTGGCTTGAAAGCACCTTTTATCTACCTTGGGCATGTGTTGATGCCAACTTGAGGGGCGCAATGGGTTGAACTAGTAATATATTCTCCGAAATGTCACAATTCTGGAAAACGTGATGTAGTAGGGGGAGTAAGATATGTGCCAGGCACTTATTAAATCCATCAGGAGAGGGAACTGCAAAAAATGTTGCCTATCGAAGCAAATCAGGAACAAGGGTAGATGTACAAAACTGTGGGGTACCCAGAGGAGATACTTGCAAACTCATAACCAGTATCTCCGCGGCCTGTATATATTGCATGGAACTCCTTTCCACCTCCAGTTATCTGTGAATATCCGATTCCATTACCTTTGTCAACCACAACTGCGCAGACCTTGGGTGATTCTTCGTATTTGAAATCATTTTCACCGGTAGTTTCGTTGGGAGCGAGTTGGACCTTTCCGTTGCCTAATATCTATTCTGGTCAAGGACTTATCAAATAGTGGAATAGCTGGAATAAGTACTAGTCCTTTAGCATGTTGGCGCAAATTGTATTTTTCAATCTCACTCCGGAACGAACTCATGTGCATGAAGCAAGGGATGGCTCCACTAGACTTTCTGACAGGGCTCACAAAATATCATGCAACAACCAATGTTGATATAGGAGATATTGGTAGGGTAATGTAAGAAGACACCGCCGAGGATCTTCTAAGCCCGTCGTGGGGCTGTGTAGAGGGGATTTTCGCGGAATGAAGAAGGCAGAGGCGGTCGAACTTGAGTTCAAGAAAGGGAATAGAGAAATATTCACCCACGTGATAATTACATGGTCAATGCGATAGTGTCACGTGGTAAGAATCACCAATCTCGGCCATGAGCTTATGTTTCTAGGCTAAACGGGACCCCGGACCCATAATTCTATATTATGTAATATTCTGAGGTACTTCCATAAATTCTAATTCTAATATGGCGTATACTCCCTGGCTCTCAATAATGGCTTCCGCCTAATGAGGCATCCTCTCTCCGAGACATTCCGGATGTCTCATCTCTTACCGTGGTTCTACTATTACTGATTTTACAGCGCGTTTCAAGACGGTGAACAGGGCAACTGACCCCGAGGGCACGTACCCGGCGGACTCCACCTTGGTGTTAAACTTCTGTTAGTACGGGAGACGCGGGATTCGCCAGCCTCCACCTATGTTGTATATTTTTTAGCTCATAATTAAGGTAGTATTGAATCCAGTATTTTTACAGAGTCAAAATAATTTAATGTTTAAATAATACCGCTCTAACTCTCAATTTTTTTTACCTAACTAGCTAGGGCCCCCGAGCATGACGAACGGCCTAGAATCTGGCTGGCATACTGTACCTAACATGAGAAATCCAGGGTTATACAATAGAGGAGAGGAGTTAGAGAAACTCAAAGCAATACAAAATACACGTTCAATACTACGGACTAAGATTGATTAGGGAAATATTAGGCCGATCTTTGCGCCACTGAACCCTACTAGGGTACACCCTGTTAGGGTACGTCCATTGTCGTGTACATAACTACATGTACATATGTAGGTGCCCACCTAGTTAGGCGGGATACTTTTCTTAATAAGACATTTGTAATAGTCCGGACACGGAGTAGTCCGATACATGCAGTAAATGTCATAAGTTACAACTCGATATCTCAACAATGGCGGTCTATATGAACGATTCCTATTAGCATCAAATGAGTGCCACGGTCCGAGAGCTCCGATGACCTGCATCCTGCATCCTGAATCCTGAATCCTGAATCCTGATGTGACCCTGCGTGCTATGCCCATTTATAGCTTGGCCGAAATCATCAACCTTCTTTCCCCGCATAGAACTTCGACATGGTCGATTGAACGACGATGGATGATTATTGTCAGACTTAGGCTGGTTTGAAATTCGGACAACTGTTTTGTACTCTTTACAGCCTCAATTTACGGTCTTTTGCTCGATGTCAGTGGCGCCAAAACTTAACATCATGGCGTCCTGTCCGTGACCTGGGCCCGGGTGCTATGATCCCGTTTGCGTCTTAGTGCTGACGGGTGGTCCAATGTGGCTATTCCTCAAACAAAGAACAAAGCCACATGTTTCATTTGGGGGCTGATCTGCAGTTTGGCTCACCCCACGGGGAAAAGTTTGATCTCTTTTATATTCTGTGGGGTAGCCGACCTTCCCTCTACACTTTTCAAAATCTGAGATCTCCTGAATCTGAAAGCTACCAAAAAGGTCCCCATCATGGATGAAAAGTCGTCTAAGAGCGATTTCCCTCACTTCGAGCATGTGTTGCCAGCTAAGACAGAGCTGGATGAGGCTGTCAACCCTGATGCAGCTCCGAGGCGCCAGGCGATCGGTATCAACATCGTTCAGAATCCGTTGACGGTAAGTCACAACTGGGAGCCTCTTTCATGTTCGTGTCGGACATGAACACTGATCATCTTTGGGTATACAGCGCGTCTCTAAGGAGCAGGCTATTATCGATGCCCGGAATTATGCCGAGTCGCATAATATGAGCGAATATGCCGATCTGTTTGGGCGGGCTGCTGTGGTTGCGCGGAGCCCCAAAGAATTCCCATCGGCTATTGAGATCGATGAAGAGGAGCGCACTGCTCTCGCATACGAGAGGGACCATAAATGGCACGGCTCATTCATGCTCTGGTACTCAATTAGTCTATGTGCTATCGGCGCTGCCACACAAGGATGGGATCAGACTGGATCCAACGGCGCCAACTTGTCCTTCCCTGAGGAATTCGGAATTGCCGGTAAAGGAAAAGATGAATGGATCGTGGGAATCGTCAACTCCATCATCTTCTTGACCGCAGGCCTTATGTAAGTTATAGCCCTGTGATGATCATTTTTCTTCTATATTTTGCGACTGACCTTGTACATAGTGGTGCTTGGATTGTCGATCCACTTAACCACTATTTGGGCCGAAGAGGTGAGATTTTCGTCACTGCTCTCTGTCTCACTGCCACGCCCATTGGTTCTGGCTTTGCAAAGTCATGGCAAGGACTCTTCGCTGCGCGATTTGTGATGGGTATCGGAATCGGTGCAAAGAACGCTACAGTGCCCATTTACTCGGCTGAGATGGCTCCAGCCAGAATTCGAGGCGCTCTTGTCATGTTCTGGCAGCTTTGGGTCGTAGCCGGTGAGTATCTTTCATCTCTCGTCAAGAAACATGGCTAATCTCCAATACAGGTATTTTCTTGGGCTTCGCTGCCAACGTTATTGTCAAGGATGTGAAAGATATCGCCTGGCGTCTCCAGCTCGGTTCCGCATTCATTCCATCCTTCATCCTTGCCATTGGCATCTTCTTCTGTCCCGAGTCTCCTCGCTGGCTTATGAAGCATAACAGGCACGCTGAAGGATTCCAGTCCATGAGGCGCTTGCGAGCGCATCCAATTATCGCTGCTCGAGACTTCTATTATTCATACGTGATCTACGAGGAGGAACTCAAGGAGACTCGGGGCGCAGGCTATTTCTCACGTCTGTGGGACTGTTTCGCCGTCCCGAGGATCAGGCGGGCTAACTACGGTGCCTCGACTGTTATGATTGCGCAGCAAATGTGCGGTATCAATAGTAAGTTGTATCTCGTCGTGTGAGATGGACCTAGCGGTAACACGTTTTAGTCATTTCTTTCTACAGCTCGACCATCTTCCGGGATGTCGGTTACACAGAAGACCAAGCCTTGTATGCGTCTCTTGGCTACGGTGCTATCCAAGTTGTGGCCACTATTCCCACTTTGTTCCTGATCGACACCAAAGGCCGAAGAACCTTGACTTTGATCGTAAGCCGTTCCGAGATTTCTTGCGGAATATCACTAACTATTGTTCTTACGAAGACATTCCCCCTGATGTGCATCTTCCTTTTAGCTGGTGGTCTCTCTCTTTTGAACAAGACGGATAATCATGGGGCTATGATTGCACCAGTTG